CAATACGTGGTCAATATAAACACTCAGTTGTGGAGCAAGCTGAGTGAAAACTAATTCAACATTGAGACAGAGAGCTATTTATGGTGCAATGGAGCTAAAGTGGGATAGTCCATTGCTTGGGCTGTGATTGGCTGCTGGTACCTGAGTGGAAGTATTACTATATAAATACTAGCATGATTTCTCAGTTAGTTTGCAGGATATGTATTAAGTTACAACCTGCTTTATTTATTTATTTATTTATTTATTTTTGTCTGCCAGCTGGACGCTAGTTGGAACTCTTACGCCGGTAAGTGCTTTTTATTATTGTTATTCTACATCTCCTTCCCCCCCATCGCGTGTGGGTAGTGGCCTTTGGGGAGGGATTAGTTCCTTTAAACCTGGCTGGTTGTGCGGAAGTAGTCTGGACAATGCCCGAGGGGTTTTTGTCCGTGTTATTGTAGACGGCTGAGCAGTGTTTGATGTTATTCCAGCGTCGAATGTTTGTTGCACTGGTGTAGGGGTCTCAGGTATTGCACTATATCTTGGAACTGGAATTGTTGGTGTATCCAGTTTCCTGAGAAATCGGCGATTTCGTAAGGTAATTCTACCTGATCCGTCAACTCTGATACGGTATTGGTGGTTGGGGAGGGTTTCAATGACCTGACCTGTTGTGTCCCATCGACGGGTTGTTGGTCTTTGTAGTGCCACTATTTGTCCTTTTTGAAGGGGGGTTAAAGTGTGTGCTGTTCTGTTGTATCGCTCTATGAGACGAGCGTTCCGCCGGGACAGACTTATCTCACGATTTTGTGCTGCGGTTATCCAATTCGCGTGTGGCTTATAGAGTGTTGGGTGGGATGGTATGTAGTCACGTAGTCGGCGGTGGGTAGTAGTTGAGCAGGGGATAGCCCAATGTTTTGAATGGGCGTATTCCTGTATTGGAGGATGGCTCTTGCTGCACGGTTATTATCCAATGATCCTTGGGCTCCTGTGTTGCCATTTACGACAGCGAGCTCTGCTCGACCATTGGATTGTGGGTAACCAGAAGATGATAACCTTTGTTTAACAGCCCAGTCTTGCAAAAAATTGCTTGAATGGAAGAGATGTGAAGGGTGGCCCACCATCACTGCTGAGTTCCTCAGGAGCGCCGTAGGTTTGAAATATGTCTCGGCAAATCGAAATAATCCTTGAGGCATTAGCTTCTCCGTGGCTCAAGTGGTATAGATTCAGCCAGCCCGTTAACCTGTCAGCGCATGCTAAGTAACCATGGTTTCCAACATGGAAGATGTCCATGACGATTTGCTGAAATGGCCAATCAGGAGATGGTGTCAAATTGATTGGCTCTTTTGGTTGACTCGGGGCAATTTTTGAGCAGAACGTACAACCTGCTCTAATGTTACGAATTGAAGCATTCATCCCGGGCCAATAAACAGATTCATTGGCACGTGCCTTCATGCCAACTTCGCCTTGATGTGCAGAATGTAGGCTATGTAATATTTTTGCGCGTTGTGAGGTGGGGATAACAATTCTTTGATCTAAGAGCACTAACCCGTCGTCAACACTTAGGCGGTGCCTCACTTCCCAATATTCGCGGATTTCAGGTGCAGTGAGGATGCGCGTTCTTTGGAATCCGTTTTGTATTACTTCAATTAATTTTTTGTATTGCGGGTCGCTGCGTCCCGCCGTACGGATAACGTCTGGTGAGATGAGCTCCAGGTTGTCATTTGCACCGAATGTTGCTAATAAGGTTTTTGATTTGACCCATTCATCCATGTTGTCAGACTCTATGATGTCTGATTGAGAGGGTTCAGATGTCTGCTGGGTTACGAGAGACAGCATCGGAGGCTCTGTGCCATTTCCCAGGGCAGTGCTGAATGGTGAATCTGTACCTGAGGGTTTTCTCCTTTAACCTGAATAATCGGGGGTTTTGGATTTTACTAAGGTCTCTATCTCCGAATAATCCTTTTAGTGGTTCATGATCTGTAACCACTATGAGATTCGGGCAACCCATTACAAAAATCCGACATTTTTCCAATGCCCATGCAATTGCTGCTGCTTCGCCTTCAATAGGTGCATATCTGCGTTCAGCATCAATGCAGAATCTGCTACCAGCAAATATCAGGCGCCAACCTTCAGGGCAGCAAACTGGGGCTTTGTCAGTGGTGCATGAGCAATACTTCTGCAGAAGTAGGAAGCCCATTCCGTCTTTGCTCCAATCTGGGGCAAGGCAGGTTATTCTTTCTTTTTGAAATGTTGCGATGCCTTTTCGGACTAAGTCAACTATGACCTTCTTTGACTGCTGGAATGCATCCTCAAGGCTTTTATTCCATGTAAAGTGTGAGTCTCGTTTTACGAGATCACGAAATGGAAGCATGACTGGGCTTAGTGAATATGCCCAAGCGACTTGGTTGACCAGCCCAAACCATGATCTGGCATCGGTGAGTGTTTTTGGTATTGGGAAGCTCAATATTGCCTCCAGCAATATTGAGCACAATGGAGGAGAAAATCGAAGGTGTGAAAAAAGGCTCCTTCGATGTCAGAGTCATAGAGTAGGGTGTCATTGCGGGGGATGTCTTTTATTACTTCATCATACCTTCGGGTGTAGGCATCGCCAGATGCTAGGTAACCTTGTGGCATTCTCAGGTACATGAACCTTCCCCATTCTGTGATGAAGGTGGTGAGTGGCTGTGACTCTTTATCTAAGGGGATGGAATGATATCCATCAACAGCATTCTTTTGTTTAGGTGGCACTTGTAGTGCTAGCTGGAATGGTGACCCTGTATGGTGTGTTTCCCGTTTGCACTGTGAATTCAGGTGTTGGTAGTCTATAGTTCTTCGTGGTTTGCCATTTTTTTTGGCGGTAATTACCATAGTGCTACACCAATCAGCGGGCATGCCAACGGGTACTGGGGTTATGATACCCCTTTTCACATCTTCCCAAAGGGCCTGTTTTACGGGCTCTTTGAAGTGAAAAACACAGGAATTGGGTTATGTCTGGCTTTGGGGACTGCTCCTTCTTTGAGGTGTATATGTGCAGTGGGGCCGGACATCGGTGGGAATTCACCATTGTTCTTGAAAGCCGTTTCGGCAAATTGATTCAATAGCCAATTCTTGAGCCTATCGATGTTTTGTTCTGTTGGGAAAAGGAGTTTTTGGGGCGTGTTGGAAGTTGTCCCTCGATTTTGCATTGTTTAGGGCTCACGTCCGATTTTTTATGTGTGCTTGTCGAGGGCATGTGTTGCATTGTTGTTTGGGGTAATATTGTAGTTGTTGGCTTCAGGGAAGTCTTTGGACAGTATCCCTACATCAATGCAGGCTGCTTTGCTGAAGTATAGCCGCTGAATCTTTTGCATATGTATGGGGCTTGTTTAGTTGTTCTTCCTTGGACGATGAATTCCACGGGGGAGCCAACCCTGACATACAAGCGTAAAGCCTCCCACAGCTCGGACGACTTTTCTTGATGGAATGAGGTTGTTGATAGTAAGCCCCATATTCAGAAGGTGCTTAAGTCCCCCGAGACATATGGTGGCCCCCACTGTCAGGAAAGATTGTCATCCTAGTGCTGTGATTTCTGGGGATATTCTTAATTTGTCTGGGATCCGGTTTTGGCGAAAATGGAACAAAATATGCATCAATTTCCCTTATCTGGCCTGTGTCTTTAGACGTATACGTGCCTGTCGTTTGATTGAATGTGATGTGGGCGATAAGTGTGTCCATGGCGGCTTCATTAGCCTCTAGGCCAAAGACCATGTCAATCTGGATTTGGCAGGGTGTGTGTTAATGAGTTAAACTGGGTTCCATGGCTATTCTTGCAGCCCCAATGAAGTGATTCAATGGCATCGGCGGGTGGAAGGCTTCCCTGGGTTGAAGTCATTGACCAAAAGCGGAGTGATTCTTTGACGGAACAAAGGGCCATGTGTCTTCGACTAAAGTGAAACTTCAAATTGGAGGACATCAACTGTGGTTTGGCCTTGTGAGGGATGGGTTCCGTCAGATCTACTTGCCCAAGACATGCTACACATGAATGAATACCACTCCAGCTTTCAATTCAGATATGTGGATAGAACTTGTCAAGTATTATTCTGTTGTGTAGTGCCCCTACGACCACACCCGAAGACTGGTCCTTGAGTGGGTAGAATTATTATCGGAACTGCTGTCAAGTCATTGATTTTGATAACCAGATATGTGGGCGAGGTATTGTGACATTTAACTCCCACTTGTCCGAGGATCATTGCAGAGGTTGGATCCACAAGGTGATGGATTTTGCAACAGTTGCAGCTGGATTTCCACCAGACTCTTCTCTGTTAGTCAGGATGCATTCCTCCACCATCAGTGTGAGTATGTCTACCTTGGGTGACCCTAGTTGTTTAGGTCATCGGAGACAAAAAAAAAACAACAAATTCTATGATTGATACCTCATGTAATTTTTGATCTGGAAAAAAATTTAAAGATGTTTTCTCTTTTGTCTATTGACAATGAATGCAAATTTTGACAAACGGCTATAAAACTAATTTTACGATAACATTCTAGATTAGGGGACTGAACATTTGATAAATACTGCTGATGCTTCTATAACAAATTTAAGAAAGAATCTTTTTTTTTTTGTTTTGTTTTCGAGCTTTGAGAATTGAGCTTTTATTATTTACATTTGAACTAATGTCCTCATCTTTGTTGGTATTATCCCAATGTTTTAGCTATTGTGCCCTCTGACCTTCAGTTGTCTATGAAACCCAATAACCTTCAGGGTGTTTTAAATTGAAACTTTAAATTAATCTATGGGGGCAAATGGTTTGCGTTCTACTGTCCATGTCTAGAGATATGTCAACTAGTTTGTTTTTATTACAGCTCTGTTATTGCTAGTCCTGTTTTCAGAGTCTAATTCTGTACTTCTCTGAATGTTCGACTAAACAACAAATGCCTGAAGAAGGCCAGGGTATAAGGGTTGAAACATGGTCACAATAAAGATAAAGGCAATAGTTTGTAAATTAAAATAACTCCTGATTACAGGAATTCAGACTGAGTTTATGTTGTTTTGTTCATTTGAACGTTTCATTAATTTAATTCTTTCTTTCCTTAGCGTGGCCATGGCAACAAAAGAGAATCTCCATCTGCAGAAGAATTTCTTGAATAACATCACACAAACAATGAATTCCTTTGCAAGTATCCTTTCCCAGAGGCTGATTCTTTTCTCTCCTTAATGTTTCTTTACCTTCTTTAATTAAATTCAAAGAAATAAAAAATTATCAATCAAAATGCTAAATAAAACTGGGACGACGCATAATCACTTGCCTTCTCAAGGGACATGCCTCGAGTGGCTCTTGAGCCTTGTACATGATCACTGTCATTGTATATATATATATATATATATATATATATATATATATATATATATATATTAGGAGTCTGGTTAATGTGAACAATGTTTCTTTGGCTGTATACTGTGTACTTCATCAGGGCTGCATACAGTTTTGAATTCAGAGTTTTTCTTCTTCTAGACCATTTGCCATCCAAAGCTATAGAACCCAGTATTTCCTACTATTTCCCCATCACATGAGAAACGTTGGATTCATGCCTTTTCCAAGGGTATTATTTATTTTTAAAAACTTATAATGCAGGCACGGAGAGCTTGACAAGACAAAAAAAAAACAGTTACTAAATTTATCTTGGTAGCTCAATTAGTAACAAATTCATTACCATTCAGTTTTCTGTCTTGTGTGCTTTTGGGTTAGAAGCCAATCCTTAAAAATCTAACGCCTTGAAGTAAAACATTTGGAAAAATAACATTCTCAAGAACGAAACAGTTCAAATATGACACAGAAGGGCATATCTGAGTGTTCCTATAAGTTTCATTTCAAAAGTTAATGACTTGAAACTTCTTGCTATGATTCATAGCACAGAATTTTGTTTTCAGTTTCACATCGGGAATAGACAGTTGAAACTTCTAGGGGACATAATGTAGAAAGAGGGCCTGGAAAAACTGAAATTATATTGCTGTGGGATGTCCTGGGTCCCCTGCCAGAATTTCAAAATTAATTTGTTTTTCACTAGAAACTTTAGTGCAAAAATATCTATTGCCAGTTCTGTTCCACTGTTGACACACACACACACACAAACAAATTTTGAACGTGTTACAAAGGAGTAAAAAATTTGTTTTTAGATAATTAAAAAATACTTTGGTCTTTCCTCTTAATAATAACATAAACATTTGGATGATAAAACATTTTTATTAAGTTTGGGGCATTTTTTTTCACTATGGTATGCTTTTTTTTTCAGCGAATTATTGGCGGTATCATTTTATTGTCATAGATGTATCTAATTTTGGAAGATTTTGTGAAATTATGCAGTTTTTTAAGTTTGGTAAAAAAAAAAGAGAGAATAATGACTTGAAACCTTAGAAATTTCTATTGCTTGTTAGATAACTCACTGTCTCCCTTTTGCTTTCAATATTACCTGTGAGTATCGAATTCTACAAGCTTTCTTTCCTCATTTTCAAATGTATCTTTGTTGTTTTCCTTAATAGTCTTTTTTTCACAGATCGTTTCCCAATCGTCAACAGTTTAATCCAGAGAGCAAATATTCGCAAACGGCGTGATTCCATCGTTCTGGCTGCTGTGATAGCCACATGTACAATTCTCATGATTCTTTATGCCTTCCACTAACAAAATACGGGACCTATTAGATGCAGCGGCATTCAACATATTTGGACCAACCAAAAGAAAAGTTGGGGGCACAAAAAAAAAAAAAAAAAAAACAACCTATAATGGGTAAGGGCCATTTTTTTTTTTTTTTTTGTGTGTGCCTGAAACCCAATTTGTTTTACTAGTTGCTGCCAACCTTATCTGGTGCCCGATGCTTTGGACCCTGCCATCCTGTCTCTTGACTGGATTGGCCAACTGACCATTGGCTACTGATGGCATGAGATATATATAATTTTTTTTTTCTTATGTAAATATTGACTTTGGGGCAGATTGGAAAGACATAGCCTGGTTTCAATGGGCTTTCAATGCCTGGGGATATAAATAAAAATTATAATTATTCTTATTATTAATAATGTTGTTTTATTTTTCTGTAAACTGTTTGTATCGCAAATTGACAAGTTTGAATCTTTACAATGTGCACAATTACACAGCATCTCAAATAATTAACACTTTGTGTTTTACTGATATATCAAATAAATACTAATTCAAATGTAAAAGATTATTTGCTGAATGATGCAAAACATCTACGTGCGCAATTAGGATGCAAGTTTGTTTGTCCTGTGCAGGTGGAGACAGGCATATGAAATGGACTGATACAAAACATCAACATGTGCAATTAGGATGCAAGTTTGTTCTGTGCAGGTGGAAACAAACAGGACCATGAAATAAATTGAATTTTTAAATCTCAAATTGTCAGCCAAGTTATAATTTGAAATCTCTAAAATGGCTTGCAAGAATAATTGGAGAAAGGTGTAAAGCTGTCCGAGTTTTGGAAATGTAAAGCAATGCTGGAAATTAGAAAAACATTGATAAATTCTGAAGACATTCATTGATAATCGTGAACAACTTCCGATGCAGGGTATGGGTAAGGAGACTGTATCCCTTTATCAAGACGTTTTAAGAAAAGATTTTTTTGTTAAGTAGGTAAAAATCAAAGAATTTTGGGTCTCTACTCATGCGGGGTGGCTAATCGTTTGGTTTCGTTGAATACTGAGAGGAAAAGCAAACAAAAAAGCCAACAGGAAAAGTACAAAATGTTGGGTTCCGACTCAAGTTTGGCCAAACAGGATCATTTGGTCCTTTCTTGAATGCAGAAAAGAAAATTAAACCAAAAGGCCAATTGAATACATTTTAACTCGTCTGTTCCTTTCAACAACAAATGTTGTACAACCTTTTCTGGCACACATGGGTGGAGCCAAATTTGGGTGGCTACACACAGAAACTCTCATTAGCAGTTGAGAACTCAACAATGCAAAGATGGAGTCTTGTTTCAGAGAGGAATTATAGACAATAAAGTGCAAAGACCACATCAAGTTTCTGTTAAAGATGAAAGATATACATTGAACTTTTGGAAGCCTTTCTTCATTTATTTTTCTTTCTTTTTTTTCATCTATTTGTTTTTTCCTTTTTTTCCCCTATTACACATAAACACGAGGGTGGGGACAGTTTGTCATTTCAAGAAGCCAAATTTTATGAATTAGATTTTTTCAAAAATAATTTCAATGAAGTGACTAAACAATAATGTAGCTTTTTGCCTCTAGATGGCATTGTGGTGCTACTGTTTTGTCGGTTTTGACAGTTTCACTTAATTTTTATTTAGGATTCTAGAATTCTTTGCCAGGTTTGTCTCAAAAACTTATCAAATTAGATTAAGGTGTGAAGTATGAGATACAAAAATCCTATCAAGCTGGAGCAACTTATTGAATTGGTGGATATTCCAGTGAGTAAAATCTTTCATTTTCCTTTTATTTTCTTGTTTTAATAAGATTTATATATTGTTACAATTTCTCAATCAGGATTAAAATAAAGCAAAACAGAAAACTATGTCAAAATCGGGGGAAAAACAAAATTCCCTAAAACCTGAAATGGAATTAAGGTAAATTTGAAACAAAAGATTTGACATCTCACAAAATATACTGTCATTAATTTGTTGGCATCCATGTCAACTAAGCCTCAAATATTTATGAAAGGAATGTTGTCTTTTTTTCCTTGTGACATACTTCTAGCAGCACCTGAATAGTCCATGGCCGTAGTCATTTGAAAAATAGCTTCATTATACAAATTGTGTATGAGAAGGACAGAGGAAGGAGCAAAAAAAAGTATTCTAGGTCCCTCTTCGTATGATAGGAGAACACCTAGCTGTTTAGGTACTACCAACGACAACTTGAACTAGGATGGAGTTTCGGTATAATGGTGGATCGTCAGACTTTCATCTCCATTCCCATTTCTCTAGATATAATAGTGGCCAGAAGGTGCCAGTCATTGTGACTGGGCGAATACCACATTGCTGAAAAGGTGGCAAGACTGATTACCTCTCTTCTTCCTGCCCAAGTTTGGGTTCCTTGCAGTCAGTTGGGATGCAGTAATCTGAAAGTTGCTAATCCAGTAGCCACCAAATGGAGAAGTTGCAGATCAATCAGAACACAATATAATTTAAGACAGTTAAAATCATTAAAAAAGCAGGGTGCAGGTTTGAACTCTGCTCGAAGGCATATTCTCTTTAAGTCTTTTCAGTACACAGGCCGGTGGGTCTAATCCATAATGTTTAAATCATTTATGATTTCAACTGAAAAATATCTATTCAATATAACGTGGAAAGGATAATCCAAGTAAGTATGTTTTTATATAAAATATTAAAAAATATAGATTCAGGAAGAGATCTTATATATATATATATATATATATATATATATATATAACTAGACTAGTTTCGAAAAACCATCGAATTTTTGATTTGCTAAAATTCAAATCAATCTCGAGGGGAAAAAAGGATTTTAAAAAAGAAAGAGCTACAAACATGAACTTCTGCCGACAAAAAAATCGCACAGATGCAGGTCTGAAGCCCAAAAAAAAACCCCGATACGAGTAAACAACTAACTAACAAAAGCGCTCAATACAACCGTAGAGCAGACCTAGATACACCTAGTGAGCCAGACAAAAAAGGTTTTCACCTAAACGGATCGTCAGGGAAAGTAAGGCTTACTTTCCCTGACGGTACGTTTAGGTGAAAAACTAGGTAGGTTTTTTTTTGTATGGCTCACTATATATATATATATATATATATATATATATATATATATATATATATATATATATATATATTATGGAACAATATGATATACCTCAGAGGATAAAACTTCACACATTTCGAAAAATCCGGTAATGAATTTATTTTAGTCGATAAAATTTGTAATTTCAGTTTGATGAGGCAGGCATTAAGACCTTACCTGCTGAAATAAATTTATCAGCGGATTTTTCAAGATGTGATAATTTTTCATCCTTTGATGTCTCTCTCTCTCTCTCTCTCTCTCTATATATATATATATATATATATATATATATATATAATTTGTGTATTTAGGTAGCAATCCTTCCTTTATGCATGTTTCATTAAAAACACAAAACAAGGTAATACGATTAAGTGTTTTACTGAATTTTTCTTGTGTTCGAACTCATGTTTTCTTTTTTGAATACAGAGTGTGTAGAAACTATCCAAATGTTCGATAATTACAATCGCTTTCGGCTATACTTTTAGCCATTATCAAAGATGATTTTATTTTTTCAGTTTAATTGAGTGTGTGCATTATGTTTCTATTGTTATAGAGATGTTTCATTTTCTGAACACACCACATTGTGGCCGTGTTTGTAGTTAATATTTTTAACTGTTGCCTTTTTCTTTTTTATTATAAGGGCTTTCATGATTTTTAATCATTTTTTTACTGATGGATGAGGTTATTATGTTTGTGTTTTCTACTAGTAGGTTTCGGATGGACCCTGGTAAGTTTGTGTGATTTTATTTTAAATGGGTTCTAATAGATCTCTGGTCAAATAGGTGTGAAGCTCAATCATGTATAATGTAAAATGTGTGTTAGTGTATATTTATTGTTTTGTTGCAAGTGGTATATTGACCTACAGATATTGAATAACAAAAAACAACAACAGATAAAACTTGAGCATAAAAATATGTTGGCAAGTTTATTTTGATAAATAGAAATACATAAACATAAATAATTGGAGAGTGCACGAGGCAAAAAATATCTCTGAAGGCTCATGTTGGAGGAGAAAATAGCGTTGGCCTGAGAATGCGGGAAGTATGGCCGTGAGTGAGCAGAAAAGTGGTAGAAGCACTCACCAAAGACAATAGTTGAGAATGCATAAGGGAAGTTTACATAGGATGACTGACAAGCGCTTGGAGAGCAATCGCCCTGATATAATACTTGTGAACAAGACCAGCCATGAATAGATTCTAATAGATGTTGTAGTATGTTGGGATAAGAGAACTTTGTGATAGTAGATCAGGCAAAATGATAGAAGTACTAAAACCTGGCAGGGCTAATCTGAAAAATCTACCAAGTGCCAACTCAAATTTTCTCTTTTGCACTTGGTGCAATGTAGACAATTTCCAGGAATTTCTCTGGATCTCAAAACACCTTGGAGATAACCGACATTATTTAGGAGAGCGCGTGTGGCAGCACACCTTGAAACAGTGCATATGCTGAGGAAATCGTTATGTCTCTAAGCTGCCGAGATCAGTTGAAATATGACCATCATTCCTTCCCCACCCCCAGGATATCATACGATAATAAATAAATAATAAATAGCTATTTATCAAATGGAACAGTAACGTCAATAATTTGACATTTTATCTTCTCCTTATCTATAACAATAAGATCGGGGTCTTTGTGTTTCTAAAACAGATCATGTCATTGAAGCTATTGTTATAGATAAGAAGAATAGCAAGGGTCAAATCAATGACTTTGCTGTTTCATTTGATACAAGAGTGGACTCCAAAGATTTTGTAAAAATAGAAAAATGCCCGGATCTTGATAGAGAACTGAAGAATCTATGGAAGATGAATGTAGGGCTAATTGCTTTAGTAAGGGCTGCGCTTGGAACATCATCTAGAAAATTGTAAAAGTGCTTAGAAAGAATTGGAATTGAGACGAAGATTGTAGTCCTCCAGAAAACTGCAATCATTTACTCTACAGGGATTCTTTGAAAAGTTCTTGAGTTGTAAAGAGCTTCATTGGCATCATGCCTGAAGGACAGACTATGTCAACGTGTGACACCAACAGAATATTAAATAGAAAAGATTGTGTTATGTTAATGAGGAATGCTGACATACTTAGAAAATCTCCTTCAATAACACCGTGTGAAAAACTTTCATTTGAAATTAGATTTCAATTAAAAGACTTTGTAAATAATTGAAACAAAAGAAGAAATCAAAAGAAATAAACAGAAACAACAACAACAAAAAGTCAATAATAATATTAATAATAATATTAATAATAATATTAATAATAATAATCTGCAAACGCATCAGATTTTTCTGGAGAACCAAAGTACCACCTATTCACAACTTGGGTGGCGCATGTCCATGAAAAATTCTTTGGGGTATGCAGGCAATCTCAAGGAAAGCAGTTTTCTGCAAGTACCCGATATTGACATTGACTCCCACCCATCTACAGCCAATGCAATAGAGTGCGCAATCACTCAACCTCAGTCTATAGACACTGGTCGCCATTTCTCGACTTTTCTCGTCCACCATAGCATCCTTCTTATTAAGTAACCAATCACAATCTCGCTGAGAACCGTTCAAGGAGAATGGGAAAATATTTCATATTCTATAATATAAGTTTTACTTAATTAGAAATTATGTTTCTCTAACTCTTCAAATGTTGAATGTATAATTAATTCTAAATTCTATTTTCTCATCTTTATCATATCGTAAATTAAATTGACACTTTCTCTTCTCCTTATCTATAACAATAAGATTGGGGTCTTTGTGTTTCTAAAACAGATCATGTCATTGAAGCTATTTTTATAGCAAGGGTCAAATGAAATTGATTTGCTGTTTCATTTGATACAAAAGTGGACTACAATGATTTTGTAAAGGTTTTGTTAAAGAAAAATACATCAAGAAAAATAATTGGCCATTCCACGAGCCAATCTTCCAAGGCTGCTTAAGATTTCTCTTGATGCTGTTTTGAAAAAAAATCTGGCAGTGTCGATAGGATGCGATTTGAGTTTCTATGTCACACTTAAGTCCCTCCTTGATTGTCCAAATGTCCAATACTCACAGCTGATCAATAAGGTGATCGCTTCGATCCAGGCCCTGCCTTATACCACGTTGGGATTGGTTTTGATCATAAGTTCAGCCAGAATCTAATCGACGCCAAGTATCTTCGTATTGGGTTGGTCCAAGTGGAATGAAGACGCAATACAGAAAATAGACACTTGAATAATATATATATATATTATTTATAGTACTTCAGACAACAGTTGGTTAGTTTGTTGTCAAAATCTAGCAGCTTGCATGCGGAAGTTTATCGACCCAACCCTCTTCTTAAGTTAGACGTGACACTTTGCTGGCTTGATGAAGTTTGGCACAAGGTTGATATCGGAGGTTCTTTGTGTCAGGCTGTCATGTGGGATGTCTCTCGTCCGGTGGCTGGAACGATCTCTCTGCCATAGTCTCTCGTATCTCTTCGTTGTTCTGTTTTACGGAACATGAGCAACGGTTGTGTTGGGGCATGATGTGCCCTGGTTATGCCAGTGTTCCCCAAACAACCAATCAGAGCTCTCCCTGCAAATGTCCAAATATGGGCAAGCATCTCCTCCCTCCTTGCAATTCTACCGAGGCCTTCTACCTCTTTTGGTCACCTGATCAAATCCGTGTCCTTCCAGCTCGGCATAAGGGTCTATCACCATCACTTCCCGAGGGGCGTAAAAATACCTCCGCCTTCTTTAGAACTCCACCTAGGCCCTTTCCTCCTTGGTCACCTGACCAACTTCTCCCTTAAGGGCTAGGCGTGATCTCTCACCATCACTTTCCGACAGTTTCGATAGGATGCGACAGTTTCTATCTTTAATATTCAACATTATATTACAATCAGCACATAGAAAAAGAAAGAATGCAAAGAGAGGAAATTGTGGAGAGCCATAATCGCAAACATCCTGAACGGACTCAGCACGTAAAGAAAGAATAAGTAAGAATATATTAAAAGCTAGAAAGGAGAGGAAGATGTGGAGAGCCATAATCGCCAACATCCTGAACGGACACAGCACATAGAAAAAGAAGTGCTACAAAGGATAGGAAGGTGTGGAGAGCCATAATCGAAATTTGAAAACCTCGTAATTGTCGTTTGTTGCCGAGTATTTTAAAAAAAATTACAAATGAAATTTTAGTGAAATAAATAAACGTTCCTAATTTTTATGTATGGTGCTCTATACGTGACATAATCCTTAAAAAGAATCCCGTGATTTCATTGTCATTTGAGGCACTGCATTTATTTCCCTTTAATATCCAATTCTCTTTCATATTCTTAACGTTTTTGCAAAATGTCCTTTCATAGTTTCTGTGTTTGTACTTCTTAATTCCTTTTTACTAAATATTTTTAGTTTCACTCAAATTTCATTGAAGGAATTTTTGGTTTATCTTTTGAAATAAGATAAGAAGATTAAGAAACGAAATCAGAAAAAAAAAAAAATTAAATAAATAAAAATGAGGGGGTGGGGAAATGTATGCTGACCCAGAAATAGGTGGGTGTGTCCTTATTTTTGCCTTTGGTCAGGGTAGAAATGACATGTGACCCGTTGTTACAATCCAATGATTCCCAGACATTTTTTTTTTGTTAGGAAGAAACCAAGAAAAAAAAAAACAAAAAAAAAAAAAAAACGCATATTTTATATTTAGGGTTTTTTTTTTTTAATTCTACGAATAAAAAAAAAAAAAGTTTATTTTTTGTTTTTATTACCGAATCTTAAACCCGAGAAGAATTTCAATTTTCAGCATTTTTAATATTAATTACTTGTTAATTAATTAATTAAAGAATTAATCAGAAATCTTCTAATTAAATTTCTATCCGTTTCTGAAAATTATTAGTTAAGATTATAAAATAATTAAAAATAATAATTAATTAAAAAAATGTCAAAATAGCACAAAAAATGAGAGGAAATTGTGGAGAGCCATGATCACGAACATCCTGTAACGGACACAGCACATATTAAAAATTATTGATGGAGAGAAGAAAAGAAAGCAGCTATTACCAAATTGACGCACCCTCATGTTTAATTTGTCTCTCTGAGAGGTGGGGGGGGGTTCTTGTGTATTTCCTTTTCAACTCAACAAATGTCCACATTCTTTTCTGCAGATTTTCCATTCCTCTCTCTCTCTCTGTCTATCCCTCAGTCTATCTGTCTGTCTGTCTGTTGACCTTTGTTCGAGGTGAGAGGTCATCGGAAATCCTTGATGAAGCTTAATTTGTTTACTACTTCGTGTTGGTAAAATCCATATTTCTCGGAATTTCACAAATAAAATTAGTTTCATTTTTTCTTTCTTTCAAATCATGAAATTCAAAAAACTTTTTAGATTTTTGAAAATTCAATCAAAATTATTTTGACCTTTTTTTTTTTTTATTAAAAACCAGATTTCAAAAGTTTTTTTTATTAATTGAAATATTTTGGGTTTTCCTTTTTTAATTCCATGAGTTCAAGAAAAAGAGTTTATTTTTCGTTTTTATTATCGATTAAAAATTAATTAATACTTTAATAATATTAATTAATACTTTAATAATATTACTTAATAATTTTATATTACTTAATACTTTAATAATGTTACTTAATACTTTAATATAAATTATTACTTTATTACTTAAATACTTAAATTATTTTAATAATATTACTTCTACTTTACTTATACTTTAATAAGATTACTTAATACTTTAATTACTTATTACCGATAAAATATTATTTTAATACAAGTCATCTTGTAAACCCGAATCGAATTTCTTTTTTAACATGTATTTTTAATTTTATAAAAGAATTAATCGGAAATAATTAAATTTGTATCCGTTTAAAAAAAAAAGTTATTAGTCAGTCGTATAAAATAATAAAAAATAATAATTAATTAAAAAAACTTAAAATATTAAATAAAAAAGATTTTTAAATTTTACAATAAGAAAATTTAATGTGGAAATAAAAAAATACTTTTTTTATTTTGCATCAAAAATAAATTTAATTAATTAATTTATACTAATATTAACTAATAAAATATTATATAGTCGTCTTTTTATTTTATACTATTTTTTTATTTTTAATAAGTTTTTTTTATTTTATTTTACCAACAATTAATAAAAAAGTTGATAGTATTTTTTTCAAATGATTAAATGTCGTGAGTTATTTGAAGTAAAAAAGGAAAGAAGAGAATTCGCCCCTCTCTCATCGTTCCATGTTTTCTCTCTTGCTTCTCTCTTTCCCCCCACTCCTTTCTCTCATCTATAACACGTAAAGAAAGTCACGTGTCCAGGTGGCGTGATTATTCTCGTCCAATGAAATGCCTTGTATTCCGATGACGTCATCCGTACGGCCGACGCCCTTTGCAGTTTGCTTTCAGAAAATTCAACAGACAAGACGTGTTTTGTTTCCGTCTCGCTTCTTTTCATCCCAAAAGTGAAAATCAAAATCAAATGTAAGTAAGAATTTTCTTATCGTTTCTCCAAATCATTCAACCTTCTTCTTAAATGTTTCCATCAACACAACAAAACCTTTTTCTTCCTTTCTTTTTAATCATTTCAACCCAATGAAGGCAAGAAAGCCACTACGACGCAGGGGGGGGCGGTTTTTAAGTCTGAAAAAAAAAAAAAAATCTCTTTATTATTAAAATCCATTTTTTTCTTTTCTTTCCCGAAAAAAATTGAATTTAATTTTGAAAACTTTTTTCTTTTTTAATCGAAAAATGTTCGTCTGACTCGTTGTCTTCAATTTGTTGATTTGTTATTGAATAAAGCAGACGATAAGTTATTTTGCCCCCGAATTTCCTTATCTGCTTGTAAAATACTTGGAAACCCTTCTGGAAATTCGGTCAGTCTTGTTCGTATCTCTCTCTCTCTCTCTCTTTCTCTCTCTCTCTCTCTCTCTCTCCTCTCTCTCTCTCTTCTTTCTCTCTCTCTCTCTCTCTCTCTTTCTCTCTCTCTCTCTCTTTCTCTCTCATGATTCTCTCTGATTCGAAATCATTTTTATCATTTTTTCACCATTTTCTTTTTTCACATTCGAAAAAATTTCTTCACCATTTTCTTTTTTTTGACTCTGTTTTCTTTGTTTTCTTCTTCTTCTTCTTCTTCTTCTTCTTCTTCTTCTTCTTCTTCTTCTTCTTCTTCTTCTTCTTCATTTCTTATTGAACAAAAGAAAGAAGACGATAAGTTTTTTGTTCACCGCCCTCCCCGATTTCCTCTCTACTTCCTTAAGGTTTGTTGTAGGATTTAAAAAGGAAGACGAGGCACTACTTAAGTAAAGTGGTCCGCTTGTTAAAAAGACAACAAAAGAACGTTTAAAATACTTACTTCCGAAAACTGAGTCTATCTATCTATCTCTTTCTCTCTCTCTCTCTCTCTCTCTCTCTCTCTCTCTATCTATCTATCTCTCTCTATCTATCTATCTATCTATCTATCTATCTATCTATCTCTCTCTCTCTCTCTATCTATCAGGAATTCTCTCTCTTTCATACATCCCTTTCTTCTCTCTCTTATTGCTTATTCCTCCCTTTCACTTATTTTCCCTCGCTTGTTATCTCATGAAACTCTCTCTCTCTCTCTCTCTCTATCGGTGAGTTTATAAAAAAAAAAAAGGAAAAATATCCCCCCTTCTCTCTCTCTTCTTCCCTATTCCTCCCCTTCATTTTCTCCTTATTTTCCCTCCCTTCTTATCTCATATAACGCCCTTCAGTAGGGTGTGGTTATTCTCGTCCAATGAAATGCCGTCGGCTATTATGACGTCACAGCTCCTCAAACTCAAATATTCGAACTTTTCGAAATTGTTTTTATTTTTTAACCGAATTCATATTGCGAGAAAAACTTTTTATTCTTACTTTCTTTTTACCTTCCCTTTCTCTCTCTTTCTCTCTCTCCCCTCTCTCTTCTTTCTTTCTTCTCTCTCTCTCTCTCTCTCCCTCTCTCTCCCCCTCTCTTATATTGGTCTATCCATCTATCTGTCTCTCTGTTTCCTTAAAAGATAAGGAAAAAAAATCTCCTCTCTTTTATAGAATCTTTCCTTTTCTCTCTCTTTACGCCTCATTCTCCCCTTCACTACTTTCCCTCCCTTCTATCTATCTATCTATCTATCTATCTATCTATCTATCTATCTATCTATCTATCTATCTATCTATCTTTTAAATATTGAGAGGAAAACCAAATTCTTTTTCTCTATTAATAAAATTAGTTTATTTTTTTTTAATTAATCAAATTTTTATTTTAGCAAAAGAAAAAAATTAATTTAAATTAATTTAAATTAGTTTCTTTTTCGGTTTTTATGTGTGGACCACTTTATTTAAGTAGGTCTTAATTTGCTCGCTTTTATTGTCCTTGTGCCATACTAGATGAGTGAAGAAGATAAAAATATAAATTGGTAATAAATAAAAAAAAATGTCTTCATTTTTTACGCGTCTTTTTGAAAGAAATTGAAAAAATAATTGGAAAAAATATTAAAATTTTCAAATATTAAAATTGATGAAAAGAGAATGTTAAATGTGACTGTGAAAGCGGAAAATTAGAAGCCCCCCCTCCTTTCTCTCTGTTTCTTTTACCCTTTCTTTCCTTCTTTGAATTACTCTTCTCTCTCTCTCTTTCTTCATTGATAACCACTCTCTCCATTCCCCACTCTCTCACTATTTCATTCGCCCCACCCCCAACTCTTCTCCCCCCCCTTCATTTATTTGAGATTTTAGAAGAAAACAAATTTTCTTTCCGGAAATGCATTTGTTTTTCTTGTAAAATCTCGAAATTTTGGGTCATTTTTCTTCCGGTTTTATAAATGGACTTTTTTTTTTTTTGTCTTTTTCTGATTTTGAACTTTGACCTTTTTTTTTTCTTTTCTTTCTTTTCAGATTTGATTTTTTTATCTTCAGAAGAACTTTTCAAAATGGCGTCGAATGTAACTGAAGAAGAGACATTCCAATGCTCGAAATGCGTCGAATCTTTGGATTTGACATCAAAGACGTTGCCATGTCTTCATTCTTTCTGCAAAAGGTGTGTGGAGGAGATTCTTGGAGGAAATGGCCGGTGTCCCCAGTGCCAAGAACCTGCGACCGATAAAGAGTTGAGACTGGCACCATTTTTGGTAAAATCTTTGAGGCGCCGTCAGCTGGAATCCCGCCAAATGAATTGTGATACGTGTTCGGAAGACGGCAAAGAATCGTCCGGCCAATTTTGGTGCCAGGACTGTCAGAAACTCTTGTGCCAGACTTGCGAGAGTGTCCACCCCAAACACGAGACCAAAGACTTGTCGGGCGTGTCGAGGGTGGAGGTCATCCGGGTCATCACGATGGAGGACTGTCGACGGCACCGCAAATCCAAGGACGTCTTTTGCGACCGGTGCAACGTGTGCATGTGTGTCGCGTGTTACACTGATCACGTGACCGCCTCCCCTCAGTGTCCGTCTCGTCCGCTCTCGGTGAGGGAGGAGGCGTCGAAGGGGAAAAAAAGGGGAGGCCCCACCCTGGAGCGGGAACACTCCCAGTTCGAAATCAACATCCGGGCGACCTACGCGCAGACGGATCGATCCATTGACCAACTATCAAAGGATTGCGAATCTGAATGCTCCAAACTCTTGAAGGATTTTGAGACATTCGTTGAAGAGGCACGGCTCAAGTTGATAGAGCTGTTCGATAATATGAGAGTGATGGCGTCCGAACTGCAGAGAAAATGGCGCCACTCCCTGAAGGAGAGAAAAGATCTTTTGGGGAAGGTCAAGATCTGGCAGCAAACCTTGGAACATTTGTTGAAGGACGACGCCGACGATGAGGACGTCGTTTGTGGATTGAGGTTGGTGGGAGCTGAGCTTTATGAGCGGCTCCACCAATCGTTTGCTCCACCCGAGAAAATCCGTTGGGTCGTGACCTTTCCCAAATGGTGTCACGATTCCCTAGAGTCACTGAAGGAAGAAATAATCGACTGGACGACGGAGAGAGCCGGGTATTTACAATTGGAAAGTCAATGCCTTCTGCAAGGATCGAACCCGTCGCCGTTGATTTCATCGATTGTCGCCAGCGATGAAGACAATCACGTCTTTGTTGGCGATTGGAAAGGCAAATCGATTCTAGAATTCAGAGACTCTGGGGAATTGGTCGGCGAATTTCCCTTAAAGGACGGAGAAGAGACATTCTACCCCGGGACATGTGTCTCCTCCCCGAAGACATTTTGGTTGTTTGTTGTCCTGGGGTCGGGGGGGGGGGGGGAAGACTTTTTCTTTTTGGCGCGACAAAAATCGCCGCCATTTTTAAAAAAGAAAAAAATAATTAACACAAAAAAAAAGGAATTTTTTTCTTTGTGTCAAATTCAGAAAAAAATTTTCGCTTGTGATTTTGGAATTTTAAAGAAATTTTTTGTTTTAATGAAAATGGCGAGAAAATAAAACAATCCACCCGAGGGGGTCACCGGGGGGAGTGGTTTATTATTCCCCCCCCCCCGCCTTCGTGTCGATCCGACGACTGGGAATTTGTGGGGGCAAGAAAGGGAGGGTCGGAAATTTTGGTTTGGAATAAAATGGAGAAATTCTTCAAAAATTGCAAAAAAAAGAAGAATTTTTCGATTTTTGTTCAAATAAATTTGATTTTTTTTTTTATTTTTCGAGCCAAAAAGAAATTTTTTCTTTTACCAGAAAAAATTTCTATAAATTTCGGAAAAATCTGAAAATTTTCCGCTGATTTTTGTTTCCAGCCAAAAATTGTTTGTTTTTTTTAAAAAAGATGGAAAATATTTTTTGAAAATTTTCAAAATTATTTAAAAAAAAGTTTTTTTTTGTTTGTAAATAAAATTTAATTTTTTTAAAATTCGTTTTTTGAAATTTTTCTTCAATTTTTTTTTGTATCTCCGACCATCAATGGTTGACAGAAAATGAAATTTCATTTGGAAATGGCAATAAAATCAACAAATAAATCAATAATTATTGATCGATTTTTGTTTTTAATTTATGCAAATTTATGCAAAATAAAATTAATTTTTGTTGCACTTGAAAATTGAATTTGTCATCGGATAACAATATGAGTTCAGGTAAATAATTGTAATTTTTTTTCTTTTTTCTTCTTTTTCTTTCTTTTCTTTGTTTCTCTTTCACGCATCAAAACAAGAAATGGGTTTTTCTTTTTCTTCGTGGATGTCGTGGAGGACCGTGAATTTTCTGAAATGTTCTCGAAAGAGATTTGGTCTTTATTTTCTTTAAAGACATTCCAAGACTGACATTTGGCAACGAACTGGAGAGAAGAAAACCAAAAAATCAGGCGGGGGGGGGGGTAGAATTTCTAAAAGACGAGAAAGAATTGGTAAATTCTAAGGCGAAGATTCGGAAATTCCAAGGAATTTTTTTTTTGGATCTCCTGGGGGTGGGGAATGTGTGGAAGGGAAATTTCAACAAGAATTCAATATTTTATTCTTTTGCGATTTTAGAAGAAAACTCAAAGATTGATGTCTCATGGAAAATGGAATCGGTAAACCGGGTTCAAATCCCGTTCACGTCTGGGAGACATTCATTAGGAAAGGCATGAACCTATCTTGTCCCTGCATCAGTAAAATAGAAGAGTAAACGAAACTCTCTAGCCGAAAAGGTAATGGCTATTTCCACCCTACTCTCTCTCTCTCTCTCTATCTTATCTCTCTCTACTCATTAATTCTATCTATCTATCTATCTATCTATCTATCTATCTATCTATCTATCTATCTATCTATCTCCCTTTTCATTTTCCAATCTATCTATCTCTATCCTTTTTCATGTATCTATCGTTATATCTGATCTATCTCAGTCTGTCTATCTATCGATCTATCTATTCATATCTATCTTTTCATATCTATCTATCTATCTATCTATCTATCTATCTATCTATCTATCTCCCTTTTCATTTTCCAATCTATCTATCTCTATCCTTTTCATGTATCTATCGTTATATCTGACTCTCTCTCAGTCTGTCTATCGATCTATCTAGGTCTTTTTCATATCTATCTATCTATCTATCTATCTATCTATCTATCTATCTATATATATATATATATATATCCAATCTATGTGTCAATCCTTTTTCATGTATCTATCGTTATATATGTGTGTGTCTGTCTATCGATCTATCTATTTGTGTCTTTTATCTATCTATATATATATATATATATATATATATATATATATATATCTCCCTTTTCATTTTCCAATCTATATATCTGTATCCTTTTATGTATCTATCGTTATATCTGACTCTCTCTCAGTCTGTCTATATCTATCTATGTATCTTTTTTCATATCTATCTATCTATCTATCTATCTCTATCTATCTATCTATCTATCTATCTATTTTCATTTTCCAATCTAGCTATCTCAATCCTTATTCATGTATCTATCGTTATATGGACTCTCTCAGTCTGTCTATCGATCTATCTATTTGTGCATATTTTTTCTATCTATCTATATGTATCTATCTATCTATATATCTATCTATCTATCTATTATCTCCTTTTCATTTTCCAATCTATCTATCTCTATATTTATTTATGTATCTATCGTTATATCTGATCTTTTAGATCTCAGTCTGTCTATTTTTCTATTTATTTAAATGGGTTTATATAATTGTATCTAAATATCTATCTATCTATCTATCTATCTATCTATCTATCTCCTTTTCATTTTCCAATCTATCTATCTATATTTTCATGTATCTATCGTTATATCTGAAGGACTCAGTCTGTCTATCGATCTATCTATTATATATCTTTTTCATCTATTATCTATCTATCTATTTATCTATCTATATCTATATTTTCATTTTCCAATCTATCTATCTCTATCCTTATTCATGTATCTATCGTTATATCTGACTCTCTCTCAGTCTGTCTATATATATATATATATATATATATATATATATATATATATCTATCTATCTATCTATCTATCTAATATTCCTTTTGGAATTTTCCAATCATGGAATATTAGTGTTTAATCCTTTTCATGTATATCGTTATATCTGCTAGACATTGAGTCTGTCTATGGATTCTATCCTTTGAATTTTTATTCAAAAAAATATACATGTATCTATATTTATATATTTTCATCTTTTATATTTTCTACTAATATTATATATATGTATATATATATATATATATATATATATTCCTTCCTTCAGTATCTATCTATCTTTTTATCTATCTATTTATATATTCCTTTTGGTCTATCTATTTTATCTATCTATCTATCTATCTAATTATCTATCTATCTCAGAAATCTGTTCTTTTTATTATCTATCTATCTATCTACATATCTATCTCCCTTTAATTTTTTTGCAATCAATCTATATAGTTTTTTTCATCTATCTATCTATCTATCTATCTATCTATATCTATCTATTATCTATCTATCTGTATATATATATATATATATATATATATATATATATATATATATATATATATATATAAAACTTTAACATATATATATATATATTTATATATATTTTTTTTTGATATAATATATATATTTTTTAACATATATATATATATATATATATTTAACGTTTAATATATTTTTATATAACTGTTAATATATATATATATATATATATATATAGATAGATAGATCTCATTGAAAAACAAATCAAAAAAAAATATTCACCATTTTCTAATGTTTTATTTTAGTTTAGATTTTTTCAAATTCTGTCGCCATAAATTCCTCAAATTTGGTTTCGAAGGAATCCTAAACAATATTTTCATTAGAATTTTATGATTTTCTATTTCTTATATCATTTCAAAACAAAACAAAAGAATAAATTTTGAGAAATGGCCAGATAGCAAAATGTCATTATTATTGTCAACTGGCTTTTAAATGGCTGTCAGGAAGGTGGAATTGAACCACGGACCATAGATTGATGATATTTTTTTTCAATTGCTATAAGAAATAAAAAGTAACAAACAACTATAGACAATGATTGTACGTCATCATAAAAAATAAGCTAAGAGGTTTTTTTTTTTTCTCAATGATGTTCACATTGTAAAAGTCTTGGTGTTGGGGGAGGATACTTGACAGGTTAAGATTATAGTGATCAGGGAAGTATCCTCTTGGGTGTTGATTTCACAGAATAGTGGTTTGTAGAAAGAGGCTGCTTGATTACGGTGGGGATGGAAAGCAGAATTATAATAAGACAAATGCTAACTGTTATTTTAAGAAGTAAGTGGGTACAAATGAAAAGATGCTAAATTTTAATTTTAAGCACAAATATTCTAAATTTAAATTCTTGAAAACATCTTTTCCTGGCCCGTAGGATAGGTATAAAGCTAGTGTATATATATATATATAACTCTGACTTTACTGTTCCTCTTTTCTGCATTAGTTATCGATGGAAAGCTGATATTAAAGAAAAAATAAATGTCTCAAATATAGAACAAATATATTGGAGAAGTCTTCCACAACGAAAGCAAATAACTCAGAAATATCGACGGAGTGGAGATATTAAAAACTGAAGTGGAAACTTCACTGGCCAAAATGAACATAAACAAAGTGGAAGGGCCAGACAGAATTGTGATAGAGATGCTGGCAACCTTAGATGACTTCAGCATAGACAAGATTACAGACATAATAAATGAAATCTACAACGATATCGATATACCGGAAGACCTGTGTAGATCTATTTTGATAGAAACCAGATGAAGATGAACTCCATTGGACAATCAGCCTAATGAGTCATATAAGAAAACAAATCATCTAAATCCTGATGAATAAAGCAGACTGGACATCACATAAGGATAAAAACCAATTCTCTACACAATTTTCATTCTCCAAATTATCTTTGAATGTTTAGTATAGAATACCAAAAGATGCCTAGTGTTTGATAATATGTAAATAACGTTTTTGTTGTGCATGTGGCCACAGCTGTCTGAAATTTAAAGTCAGCATTAATATAATAGTTTTACGATATTTAAGATGCATATTACCCCCACCTTATATAAAAAAAGAAATTACCCAATATACCTTGTTTACTATGCTGGTATTTATGTGAATAAGTTGGGCCTAAAGAATTTGATAGTTTGAAAATCAGTCCTAAAACAGGGCCTGTAAATCATGGGTCTCTCATAGTTTGGAGAGTAAAGGACTTCTGTCTATGAGGAATTATCATTGTTCATTTTAGTTACATTTTAATTATTTCCACATTTTTTGAGAGACAAACATCTGATGAAGGCCAGAGTGCACAATGGCTAAATCGTTGTGATAACACCAACAAAAACAGAATCTATTTTCATTTGTTAAAATAGAATTTATTGAGAATTTCTCTATTTATTGCACCTATCAGCTTCTGCATGCGTATATATATATTCACACACACACGCACACACATATATATGTATATATAACAAATGGATAAATATAGATAAATGTCTGAGCAAGCGTTTGTATACAATATATATATATATATATATATATATATATATATATATATATATATATATATATATATATATATATATATACCTATAGTGTAAGAAAAAACAGTGCTCAATATTAAATAAAAAAAAAATATACATAATATCCTATGTTGATTCCCCAACAATGAGATGTGTTTCTCTTTCTCTGCTATAGAAAGCATCTTTTTCTGGCATCTGGATTCATTGCCAGAAGGCTTAGATGATGCAGAATATTTGGGCGACATTTTAGGACTTGAAATAAATTCACAATTTAACACAAAAAAAATCCAAAATAACACTGCACAACACAAAGATGCTGAGTGATGTAGCAGATGTGTGCATATGAAACAAACTGAATGGCGTCATATGACGAAATTTAGGATGCTGGGAACTGAGGCTGCAGTCACTAAGCCAATCAGCGTCCAAGATATGGAACAGCATGATCTCAATGGTCGTGTCTTCTCTATTGGCCAATAACATTTGGCATCTACAAAATCATCTTGGAAGACAGCCAGATTACGATCGGCTGCTGAATATTTTTAAAAATCCATGATGCACTGAGACTGTGAAAGGTAAACCGCAATATAGTGAGGGATTACTATATACAGATTAGTAAGAACACAAATTAACAACACCTATCTTTGACAATTGGTGAATTTGACATTTATTTGAGGTCTATGATTATCATTTCTTTTGTAGGTTATATCTGGTAATAATTCAATAGGTTTATCTGACCCTGATGAATGGCGTGAGGATGAAACTTTAAAGTCAGTCGATAAGTCAATTTATAAACCTTTATTAGTTTGACTAAATTATATACACAAACACATGCATCAATTCCTTAGTAATTACTTTCTTACATTTCAGATTCAAAAATAAAGTTATCATTTTAAAAAATAATTTTAGATGGGCTTTCCTTCATAAACGTAATTGAACCTTGCTTCATTATAATATTTCTCTATGGCTGAGCTGTCTAAAAGCCTATCACACTACTCAAGGGAGACATAGGTTCGAGCCTAGCAAAAGGACACATACTCTTGTGTAAAAACTCTTGAGAAACAAAAGGTCGACAAACAATTTTACCTTTTCTTTCTTTTAAAAATATTTTTAAAAAAGCATGAGAAAAGATCAGGACCTATCACATTGCATATCCGTCTCTGGATTTTGTTGAGGACCTTGAGATGAACATTAGGGGGCAACAATATTCTATACAAGGACGAATGGTTTATTTCAAGGATGCACTCAGGCGAGAAAAACCTTCAAACTTAAAAAAAAAAAAAAAAAGCATATATCTATTAAATATACAGTTTCTATTATATATCTGCAAGTTGTAGAATTAAAGAATTTTTGGATTGTAGACTTGTAAAATAACAATTCATTCCATAATTTCTTTTTTGTACCTTGTCAGCTGATTTCAAGTATGTCTTGTAAAAAGATTTGTCACGAGTAAAAATATAGATAAAAAAAAACAATATCGAATCACAAAGTATTACATAAAATCCAAATGTTATGAACATAATTTTCTAAAAATGTCTAAATATTCTTTTTCTACAATTGAAGTTATAATAAAAATGTCTTTGCCTTCTGTTCTTCTCTCCCTCCCTCATCTCCTGAAAGGTGACGACCCCCTCAGCTTTAGAAAACCCAGTCATCTCTCCATCATTGTTTGATTTATGTATTTACTATTGACTATTTCAGAACATCTCCCTATCTTAGATATGTGGAACGGAAAGCCGTAAGGTACTTGGTTATCTCCCCTTTTGTGTGTCTGCGTGTGTGCTTGCATCTCTCTCTCTCTTCTCTCTGCTTATGTGTGATTTCTGTTAATGTTTGCAAAATGATTTCCTTTACAAGATTCTAATCACTAAATTCTTTTGACTCAAGAAGAAAAAAACCCAACTCAGACAAACAAATCGAGTAACAGTTGTCTTCTTTCATTCTGGAAATTATTTCAGACTTTTTTTTTTTGTTTTGTTTTTCTATGGTTTGACCAATCTCTTCTACTATTGGAATATTTTTTACCATTTTACCAACAAAAAGAGAACGTGCGGTTCTTGCTATGAAGTAAACTTTATGAATGCTTTTGAATAAAACAGTCATATCAATAAAAGTATTGCTTACAACTGCATCACATACAATCATTGTTTCACGAACGATTACCAAAGTTAGGCAATGTTGATCTTGGTCAGTACCTCAATGGGTGACCACTTGGTCTGTAAGCTTGGATGTGCAGGTGGTGTAAAGAATAATGGCTTGGGATTATTAATCAGAGAACTGATTTCCAATTCCTGTTGGGATCGTTATATTCACTTATGTGGTAATACCTTTCGGAATGGTATGAATCCACTTCTTCTCTCCCCACTATGGGTTAATTAGTAAGACTTGTATCCCTAAAGCATTATTTAAAAAAAATTCTTTTTATAATTAATATCGTCTGATGTTAAATAACTTGCAAAGAGTTAAGCCATAGAAAATGAATTGATCTAAGAAAGACAAAAGAAAATATTAAAAAATTTTTAATAGTCTGAATGATTTTTGGAATTCATGTCATTCATTCCAAGAAACTTTGGAACAAAATAAAAACTTCAACAACTCTTCATTCTATTTTACAGCCTTTTTCAGGTGTACTACCTATAATATATATGTATATATAAAGGGATTTGTACCCAGAGAAATGAAACATAGATTTAAACAAAACAAACGTCATGTTATACCTTAGGTACCTTTCGACCAACACCACACACACACACACACACACACACACACACACACACACATATATATATATATATATATATATATATATATTATAAAATCTGTGGACAAATAGTTAGAATGCTTGCTTCTCTAACAATAAGAGATTGGTTCAAATTTCACTCTGGTCAATTTATCAGGAAGATGACTTGATGTTAGTGCTCTGTTAAGGTGTTCCCAGTGTGTGGCACAATCGCAAGGTACCTGAAAA